GTTTTTTTTTTCAAAATCTTTTTTTTTTATTAATAAACCAAAAAGGTTACACGAAAAGAAAACGGCGAGCAGAAGAAAAAAAAAGAGGAAAACTACAAGCTAAAAGCGGGCTCAGTAATCGGCCGAGGCTTCCAGCGTCCAAGACGTCCCGCACGGACCGTCCGGTAAAGTGTAAACAATGTCAAATCCGTCCCGAAAGTTCACACCAATGGTTGCCACCAGCAAAAACGACCGGGACGCGAGCCCCGACCACATCATTGCCCTTAGCCTCACGTAGCAGCAAATCGAACAATAAAGCAAAAATTTCCCGAGGAGAAACAGCATGACGAACAAAAAATCATCGTCTACGTCGTCCTCTCCCCCAAAATTTCCCCCGAGTGGCAACATTGGAAGTACGCACGAGAGAAAAATCAATGTCAGTCTCATGAAAATCAGATTCCAATTCATCATCCGACGAATCAATCAGCCAATTAACCTAGTTCCTAATCTCCACACCAGAGGAATTACCCAAACAGTTGTTTATGAGTTTTATGTACTATGTTTAACAATTTAATCACATGAATAACTCTTACATTTTCTATGATGAGGAAATAAAGCATAGTAAAAATTTGAAGTGTTTGATGTATTTAAAAATCATTATATTTAACTGTTTTTTATTTACACTGTCATAAAATTATACTGTATTTAGTTTATTTTATTTTAAGCCGAATTAAAAATTAATTACTTGCAATTAATTTAAATACACCCAAATAATCCAAAGATATTTTAAATACATATCTATCATTGTTTGAACTAAATATTTATGGGGAAGTTACATTAAATACTAAGGTACGTAGTTATATACTTATATATCTAATTTAAATATGTCTGCCCTTTCACATAGCCAACAAGATTGTAAGCCAAGGAGAACTATGAATTAAAGTATATATTAATATAAAAAAAAAAGTATATACATGCATGTTCAATAATAAAAGAGCAACCAAATTAATTTCTTAATAGCATGTTCGTCATTAATCATCATCAACTGATAATAAAAGAGCAACAGCTAAGATATTTCAATCATAAATATCTAACATAAATCTTTCAAACTATTTAATCTGTGTTGATATGAGGTAGGGGTGCAACCGAGCCGAGCCGGCTTGGGCTCGACTCGTTAACGGGCTCGACGAGCCGAGCTTATCGAGCTCGCGAGTCGAGCTCGAACACGAGTTCGAGCTCGACGGCTAATCGAGCTCGAGCTCGAACACAGGGATGCTCGGCTCGATAGCTCGTCGAGTAGCTCGAATAGCGAGAGCGGACTTCGCCGCTGGAGGGGACTTCGTAGCGGGAGCCGGATTACTTCGCCGCGGGAGCTGACTTTGTCGTGGGAGCGGAATTCGTCGCCGGAGATGACTTTGCCGCAGGAGCGGACTTCGCCGTGGACAGCGACGCGGGAGCAACGTCGCGGCAGCGAGCTCGAGCTGACTCCGACGCGGACAGCGACGCAGACGACGGACGACAGATGCGGACGCGTGCTCGAGCTCGAACCGTGACTCGGTTCGACGCAGACGACGGACGACGGACGCGGACGAGATCGAGCTTGACTCCGACGCGCGAGCAACGACGGACCGCGACGATCGAGCTCGAACCGTGACTCGAGAGCTCGACGAGCTTTTTCTTTAGATGTCGAGTCGAGCTCGAGCTCGACTTTTGAGCTCGAAACGAGTTCGAGCTCGAGCTCGAGCTCGACATTTGACAAACGAGCTCGGCTCGAACAACCCTTGACTCGAGCTCGACTCGACTCGTTTGCACCCTTAATATGAGGAGAACAACCAAGTTAAACAATCAAAATTGCTTAGCCTCTGATGTTCATCATTGAACATTGTTCGATGCATACCAAATAGCGGTACCTGAGCACTTTACTTTTATTGAAAGTTAATCTTAATTTTTTTTAAACATGTTTACTTTTTTGATTGCCTAGTCTTCCCACTTATAGAGAGAGGGAACGATCACGTTATCGTTCAATCATGTCCAACCTTTTACAATTGACACCCATCAGTCATTGATGTCTAATGCTCAGCAAATTATTTTGTGCGGATGTCGAAGGCTGTCCAAAGATAAATCAGAATGTGCCATGTCACCCCCACTCGGTACCGCGCTTGGTACCACTCAATAGTGCTGACATGCCTAATCTACCAACTTACAAGAAGAGAGAACAAGTCAACTCTCCAACATAACCTAATTTTTTATGTTTCTTATTGATTATTATTCAATGCCTATCAGAGAAGGATGACATATATCTACAAGAAAAGGCGGAGGCAAATTATTCTGTGAGGACGTCAAACGCTGTTCAGAGACCAACCAGAATGCGCCACATCACCCCCGCTCAATACTGCGGCTCGGTACAGCACTCGGTACCATGCTCGATATTGTTGACATGGTGCATTATGGTTCGTCTCTGAATAGTGAATTGCGTTCTACATCCAACATCCTTTTTTTTTTTGTCAATTGATCTTTCTTCCAATAAAAAGAGTGACCAATGTGATTGTCTAATATAATCATATTTTTAATATTTTAATCGACCATATGATGATGCCTATCAAAGAGTAATTTTTAATAAATTTAAATTCAAGCTCTCTTAATTGCTCAATCTCTCCCTATATGAAGATCCGTTGAGTCCAACATCATTTGACTTTTACTGTTCCTAATAAAGCATTAGCTAATATATATCGTTGATTGATGCCCATTAAACACTGGCGCATAATACTCATAATTCTAGACAATTAGTCCCTTTCTTATAAGGAGTGCAACCCAACCAATCGTCTGATGTTGCCCAACTTTCGACATTTCTTATTGATTTGTCACCGAATGCCAATCCAAGAGTAATGATCAATATCCATGATCCACTAACATCTGCCATAATCCTTTTTGGTTACCCAATCTCCTGAACTCCGATTTCAGCAAACGTATAGTCAAATTGAGCGTCTCGGAAATACGAACCCAACGACACCAAATTTGACTCAATCCGAGCCCAAATGAGCCCAAATCAAGGACCCGAAGCGCTGTTGGAAGCTTCGTACCACTGTTTGAGTTACCAAACGGTTTTCAAATATGACGAGCTTATAATAGAATCGAGCGGCTCGACGAGACGAATCGAACGAGCCCAAGACCACTGAATTCTGAAATCATTAAGGCCTCCAAATGCCTGACGAATGGTCCATGATCAAGGGATTCAATATCAGCCGTCCATCCAACCACTTCTCATTTACCCTTGATCTCTCATCTATTTACAGGCCATGCCACTACAAAAATCTATAAATAGACCCCTCATTTCTCTTGAAAAGTGACCCAAGCAAGAGAGAGAAGAAGAGAAGAGAGAAGAAAGAAGCTCCTCCTCGACCACCGCCGGAGTTTCTCCGGACCACCGCCGGAGTCTCACCGGACGAAATCTATAAATAGACCCCTCATTTCTCTTGAAAAGGGACCCAAGCAAGAGAGAGAAGAAGAGAAGAAGAGAAGAGAGAAGGAAGATGCTCCTCCTCGACCATCGCCGGAGTTTCGCCGGACCACCGCCGGAGTCTCATCGGACCACCGCCAGAGCTTCGCCGGACCACCACCTGAGGTCCTCACCTACGCCGAACCACCGTCGGAGGCCCTCACCTTTGCCGGACCACCCTCGGAGGCCCTCACCTTCGCCAGACCACCGCCGGAGGCCCTCACCTTCGTCGGACCACCGCCAGAGACCCTCACCTTTGCTGGACCACCGCCAGAGGCCTTCGTCTTCGCCAAACCATCATCTAAGGCCCGGAGTTCTGCCAGGTTTATTTTAGTTAACATATATTATAATATTTAATTATTTTAAATTTTATTATTTAATAATAATTATATGATTATAATAAAATATTTATATTATGTATATTTATCACTTTTATAATCAAATATTAATTGAAATTTGATCTAGCTTATTCACGAGTTCTGAATCAAACACGAATCAAGCTTTTATCGAGCTTCATGTTGAGCTTGTTCATGAGCATAAATAAGCCGAACACATTTAATGTTCAAGCTTGTTTATTTAATGATCGAGTATTTAAAATATTGTTCAAGTTTATTTGTTTAGTTAATTAAACGATCACAAATAAACTTTAATTGAACCAATCATCGAGTAACTCATGAAACGTTTCATTTGCTTGCAGCTCTACTTCTAATTAGCTTTCGTTCTATTTAAGATTCATTTGGACAGGTATTATTTTTTTATAAATGTGATTATTAAATTATTATAAATTAGGATTTTTTTTTCTTAAAATTTGGTGTAAGAAAATAAATAAATTTTTATTATAAATTAAAAACAAAAAAACAGTACAAAAAAAAATAATGACTATTTCAGCCTGAAAAGCAAAATAGTAAAAAAAATGTATTCCAAATAAAACTTTACAATGCATTTACATCAACAGCTGAGCAGAAAATATAATTTTATTTAATTGTTCTCAGAGGAATCACGTTGGCAATGCATAACAGTCCAAGAACAGTACATGTTTTGCATACATACCACTTTATACCATCCTATTTACATATCTAACACCTAAAATTTTAATATTACATACATACCACTCTATATTATTTTAATATCAAATATGCCACTCATATTTTCTTCCAATCACTCATATATTTCATTTTTACCACTCATATTTGATATGAAAATGAACTAAGAATGGTATGTATGTAATATTAAAGTTTTAGGTGTTAAAAATTTAAATAGAGTATTATATGGTGGTATGTATGAAAATCTCCCAATATTAAAACGACCTTTCAGGTTAGATAATTTGTAACAAGTAAGCAATATAAAAATGACAAAGCAATTCTTTCTTTCCAAACCACTTTAAGGCTTCGTTTGGAACGGCTTTCTTTCTGTTTCTTAAAGCAACTTTTTAGTATAAAATTTTTTAAATTTTTAAACTAAAAAATTGCTTTAAAGAATAATAAAAAAACCGTCCCAAACGAAGCCTAACAATATCACATAAATCTTTAATAAATCAGCCTTCAATTAGAACATCACTTGAAGCTAAAAATAATTAAGGTAACTGTACAATCACTTCTTTTTTTTTTTACATTTTTAGTTCTCATAGATAACACTCAAATAACCTCATTAAACACAGACATAAAGTACCAAACACCATACCTGATCAAGCTCCTACAGCAAATCCAAGATAAGGCTCATTATCTTTAATGGGAAATCTTCTACCTAAGCTTAATTATGGGCATTCACCAGAAACTTCAATGTCAATTTCACCTGTCTTTTCAGTAGATCTGTTCAACAAGAACAAGGAATGCCTACACAGCTTCTGCACTCCTTTCCTAATACTGAGTCGATTTAATAAACCTTCAGAATCAAAATTACCATATCCATTTTTAGATCCACCTGAATCGCTCATAGTTGGTGAAGACCTTCCAGAAATGAATTCACTGTCGTCAACTTCGCTTCTCTTTTCAAAGCTCCTGAAACTGTCTTTGCTATCACTGTCTGTATCATCTGCTTCGTTCAGTGAGTTGTAAGCATCCTCTGCAAAGTCTGAGAAATTAAGGTCATCATCATTATTACTATGAGATTTGCAGTTAGAATGCAACTGTAGAGCCTCTGCAGCTTCCAGCTCTCTTTCATGGAGTGTTTCTATGATTAATGTATTAAGGAAGTTCATTACTTGAACTGCATGGATCAATGCTATCAAAGGATCGGTCATCTGAAGACATAAAAGTACGATTTATAAGTTTTATAAGCAGTGGAGGACAAAAATTTTCAAATGAGAATTTAACGGTAAAGTTCCCTAGCTATATAGTATTTTTGCCCCTGGGTCTTTTCTAGATTCCACCATTGCTTATTAGATGTTAAGCTAAACATTTCTGACCTGTGTCATGTTAGGAGCAAAAACCATGGCTATGTTTCGAGCATTCATCTTATTGTAATGTTCGTGCTCCACAACATCCGCCATCAAATTGATGAGCCAGTGAAGCAATGCCGCTTCAGTAGGCGGAAGCATTCTGATGAGGTGGGAGCACTCTCCTTTGGCATTGCAGTGCATCACCAGTTCCGGTGGAATGGAGTCCAGAATCCCATTCGGCAGTTCTCTAAACCATGCCTGCATATTTAAGAAGATCCAATAAGTTGTTTGAATACTAAGGCTTTGTTTGGGATGGCTTTTTAACTGCTTTGCAAAGCTGCTTTTTAGTACAAAAATCTTTTGAAAGCAGGGAAAAAATAGTAGTCTAAAGCACTCACAACGAAGCCTAAGGCTTCGTTGGGGACGGAATTTTATTGCTTCTTAAAGCAGCTTTCTCTGCTTTAAGAAGCGATAAAAAAGCCATCCCAAACGAAGCCTAAATAAGCATCTTGCACGGTATTAAAACTAGACCATATCATCAATTTAGATTAAAGCATTATTAATACATGTATAAGTAGAAATTGTGTAACATAATATTAGAGGATTCTGTGTGTACAAACAAGGTTTGCTCAACATTTGTGAATCCATAAAGTAACGATCACAACGTCAAAGCATACCAAGCCTGACGTGAAGTCTTGGACAACCAAGAAAGAAGCCATTCACAAGGAGGCTACGCCTCATTTGAGAACTTCTATCCAAGTTATCTTTTCTCTAACATTTCCTTTACATGAATTCACATCTATCAGACCTTTATGGATACGTAGTACACCTGCATACTTTGCACAAATCCAAATATCCCGCTTATTAAAACGTTCAATCGTGCTTCATTAAAAGCTAGGCCACCAGTTTATGAGGACTATGGTACTGTGATTTGCCCAATAATGAATGTGAAGAGGCTATTAACAGCTCTATTATTTTATATCATAATACGCTACACTAATAATTAGCATTACCATTAGCCTTATGCCAACTATTTTGGATCAGTTTTATGAATCCTCAATTTTTTTAATTGTTTATGCTAAATATGCTTAAGATGTTAGATCAACATTCACGAATTATTTTTAACAACTACTAATAAGTTAATTCAAGTCTACGGAATTCCCCTCCTAATCTTTTGTCTCAATTTCCTTTAATAGTACATAATATAACACATTACATCGATCAAGATAATCAAGTTAGAAGTCCAATCCAGAGATCTAAGACTTAAGCCAAAATAATAATAATAATAATAGTAATAAAGAAAAATCCAACTACAAAAGCTCAATCAACAGCCTAATAAACAACCCATAATTCAGAATATTTTAAAGGGTTATTTGGTTTGAAGTAAAAAGGGATGTATAGTATTCTAAATACAAAAGTTTTGAAAATATTAGTATTTGGTCTTAACAAAAATTAATGCAAAGTAAAATTTAAAAGTATTTGAAATGTAGCCTCTAATTCAATTTTGGTGTATTTTGAAATCATCAAATTTCATTGATTTTTAAAATACATTGTACATTCTATATTATTGTCACAGTCAGTCAGTACCTCTGCCACCAGTTACCACCCACCACCAAATACCATCAACATATCTTTTCCGTCTATTTTTCCCTCCAATAATGTTTGTCAAAGTCTTATAATGCCTAAAAGTATGGGCCAAAATGCTTTATAAATTTTCATTGTTTAATTAAATATTTTAGTGAATAAACTCTCATTTCATCAAATTTCATTATTCTTTTTATATTTACTTACTAGCCTCTTAAATTTCGACTCTAAACTTTCCTCACACCACCCTCACTACAGTTTCAAAGAACTCAACAAAGAAGATATTAATAAGCTAAAACAACTCCTGGTATCACTTGAAAAATTACCTGGATCTTCTTCTCTTGCACTTTCAGGCAAATTTACTATATCCATTGGATTAATTACCTCTAGAAATCATTTGAGAGGAGCATAGATCACTGACTCAGTAGCCACAAATTGCATGACACACTGCATTACCTACTTCATCAACTACACTCCTTGCCCGAATGATAAGAAAATCATCACTGTTGATGGTTCTCTTACTACAGTAGCAAGCCAAGAAGACATTCCCTTATCTCCCACCCTCACTCTAAAAAATGTATTTCACGTACCTCAATTATCCACAAATCTAATATATATACAAAAACTTACCAGTAATCATAATTGTCAAGTCATATTTAACCTTGTTGCTTATTTTTGGACCATGGATCAAGAAAGAAGATTGGACTTGCTAAGGAGAGAGATTGAGTGTACTACCTAGAAGAGCTAAACAAATCCACTATTATCAATAATAACTATCTTATGTTATCCTTATTTAATAAAAAATCTATTATTTGGCTTCATCATTTTAGATTAGAACGTCCATCTTTTGATGTCTTAAAAAATATAAATCCAAAACTTTTTTACAAGTTGAAAAATGAATCTTTTCATTGAAATCTTGTCAGTTAACCAAGCATAAACGAGTTTCTTTTCCAAACAAAATCGAGAGATCGCATACCCCTTCTACCTTATTCATAGTGAAATCTAGGGACCCAAAAAATTTCCTAAAATCTTAGGGGCCCGATGATTTCTATCCTTCATTGATGACTGCACTCGAATCTCTTGGATTTTTCTCCTAAAAAATAAATACGATGTGAGCACTATCCTTCCGATTTTTCACACCATGATCCAAAATGTACTTAAATCCTACTGGGGGGAAGCCCTTCTTACTACCACATATCTCATAAACTGACTACATTCAACAACCTTGGGACTAGAAATACCAATGGATATTCTATCTTTTTTTACCCTGAATTTCAAAATCATAACAGCCTCATATATAGAATCTTTGGGTGCACTGTCTATGTTCACATTCACAGTCAAAATAGAGGAAAATTAGATCCAAGAGCATTCAAATGTATCTTTGTTGGATATTCATCGACCAAAAAATGTTACAAGTGTTATCATCTCTCTACCAAGAAAACTCTTGTATCTATTGACGTTACTTTTGATGAACAAAAATCTTATTTCAACAAACATCATCTTCAGGGGTAGACTGAAACTGTGTAAGATGTGGAAAGTGAGCTTGCCCCTCTTAACCTTTTAGCTCCAACTCAAACCAATCCACCTAAACCTGAAATCAAAGACGGGGAAACTGAGAACAAACCTATTATGGATAATACGAGATTTGGGAAAGTGTATTCAAGGCGTACAAATCCAAATTATGCTCCAGAGCATAACCAAGAATCTAAACCGTCTCCTAAAAATGAGGTTAATACAAGTTCACAAAAAAAAACTCCATTGTATCGCATAACCAACTTTGTATCCTTTCATAACTTTTCACCTTTACACAAAAATTTACTAGTTACACTAAATAATATTCATATTCCTAATGATATTTCTAAAGCTTTATATGATGAAAATTAGAAAAGTGACATGAAAGATGAAATGCATGTCCTAAAAAAGAACAATACATGGGAGATCACCGACCTACCAATAAGGAAAAATCAATCAGCTGCAAATGGGTGTTCTCTATGAAATCAAAAGTTGATGGTACACTAGAAAGGTATAAGGTAAGACTAGTTGCGAAAGGGTACACTCAGACTTATGGAATTGACTACCAGGAACCTTTTGCACCTATGGCCAAGATGAATACAGTGAGGATCGTGCTCTCACTAGCAGCTAATTATAACTGACATCTGGAACGATTGGATGTTAAAAACGCATTCCTACACGAGAATTTTGAGGAAGAAATATTTATGGAGATTCCACTAGGATTCAAGGAACAATTTGGGGGTAACAAAGTGTGTAGATTAAAAAAGGCTCTATATGAGCTAAAGCAATCACCAAGAGCTTGGTTTGGAAGATTCTCAAAAGTCATGCTACTTGATGGTTATTGGTAGAGTCAAGGAGACGACACATGATTCTTCAAGCACTCAGGCTCAGGGGAAGTCACAATTTTATTAGCTTATGTGGATTATATTATCTTGATTGTAAATGATGAAAAGGAGATAGTAATTCTAAGGAAATGTCTTGCAAACGAACTTGAAATCAAAGATCTTGATAGATAAAAATATTTTCTTGGAATTGAAGGGGTCCACTCCAGCAAAGAAATCTTTATTTCACAATAAAAATACATTAATGATCTTATTAAAGAAACATGTAAAGTAGCTTGTAAATCAGCACCAACACCACAACAACAACAACAACTCTGCACTATAAAGCATTGCAGGTCCACCATCTTATAGAATTTTCCCTTGAGTTTGAGGGGTATATTTCTATCACATAACAAGCCCGATGCATTCCTCCACTTCAACCATCCAACTTGAATTCTGCTGATAATATCCCCATCTATTTCACCATCACTCTGAACAATAGATCCAAGATATCTAAAACGTGTACTCTTATTAATGACTTAATCGCCCAGAGTCACAATCTCATCACTAGGTCTATTACTACTAAAATTACACTCCATATATTCCATTTTAGATCTACTCGAGCGAAAACCTTTAGACTCTAAGGTTGACCTCCATAATTCAAGTTTACCTTCAAATCCCTCTCTAGTCTTATCAACAAGAAGAATATCATCAGCAAAAAGCATACACCAAGGTACATCCTCTTGCAAATGTCTAGTGAGAACATCCATGACTAAAGCAAAAAGATATGGGCTTAAGGCTGATCCTTGATGTAACCCAACCGAAATAGGAAAATACTTGGACAATCCACCTTGTGTTTGAACACAAGTAATAGCTCCTGCATACATATCTTCAATGATTTGAATATAAGCATTATTGACTCCTTTCTTTTCAAGAACTCTCCATAACACTTCTCTTGGAACTTTCTCATATGCTTTTTCTAAATCAATAAATATCATATGTAGATCCTCCTTATTTTCTCTATATTTCTTCATCAAAACTCTTAATAAATGTATGGCTTCCATAGTCGACCTACCCGGCATGAATCCAAATTGATTTTGAGAAACATTAGTATCACGCCGCAACCTATGCTCCATAACTCGCTCCCATAGTTTTAAAGTATGACACATTAACTTAATACCTCTATAATTCGCACAATCTTGCGCATCACCTTTATTCTTAAAAATAGGAATTGACACTAATAAAATCAGCACGAACACCATTAGAATAAAATCTCAAATTGGGGGAAGCTAAAAAAGATCCAAATGTAGATAAAGGAGCTTACCAGAGACTTGTAGGAAAATTAATCTATCTTTCCCACATCATACCAGATATAACATTTGCTGTAAACATGGTTAATCAGTTCATGCAAAATCCAAAGCAGAATCACATGCAAATTGTAGACATAATACCACATTATCTTAAGGGGAACCTAGGTAAAGGGATTTTCTTCAAAAGAGAATGTGAAATAACCCCAAAAGCATATATTGATGCAGATTATGCAAGATCACCAGTAGATAAACGATCTACCTCAGGATATTGCACATTCCTTGGAGGAAACCTTGTTATATGGAGAAGCAAGAAATAAAATGTGTTGGCAAGATCTAGAGCAGAAGCAGAATACAGAGCTATGGCCTTAGGAATATGTAAGCTATTGTGGATCAAGATAATTCTAGAAGACCTAAAGATCAAGTGGGAAAGATCCATGAAGCTACACTGTGACAAAAAATCAACAATCATCATAGCTCACAATCCAATTCAACATGACAAGACCAAGCACATAAAAGTGCACAGACATTTCATACAGGAGAAATTAGATAGTGTCTGATATGTATCTACCATGTCTCATCAAAAGACCAGCTTGCAAATATTCTTACCAAGGGACTCGATAACTCTACCTTTCTGGGACTGATTACCAAGCTGAAAATGACAAATCTGTATTCCTCAGTTTGAGGGGGAGTGTTAAATCCCAGTCATCCCATGGCTAGGATAGGAATCCATGGGAGACTCGCCTATTAAATTCTAGCCGTCCCTTGACATATTTATCCCACGGCTAGGATGGGAATCTGTGGAAGGCTCACCTATTAAATCTAGCCGTCCCTTGGCATTTCGATCCCACGACTAAGCTGAGAATCCATGGAAGGCTCACCTGGATCACGCTGATCTCTTTCCATATTTAGATGGCTGATTTAGGAAGAATTATATTAGAGTAATTATGCAATTATTATGTAATTATTTGTTTCTTTATTAATATATCTTGTATAGATCTATAAATAGGAACAAACTTGTGCAATAAAATTAAACATTTTTCCTCTCCAATTATCTGAATTTAACAAAAGTCAATTAAATGCAAACGTTCAATACTTTTGGCATGTAATTATACCTTAATCAGAGCAGCTAAACAGTGCAGGTCAATTCCATGTGGCACAACACCTTTGTTTAGTTCTTCCCTGGCAAGCATTTCTTGTCCATTATCTGCATTAATTCTAAATATCCCCTCTACCTAAAATAATAGGAGTAGAGGTTTAGTACTTGCATATCCTAGAATTAAAACAAATATAAGAGCAAACAGTCAGCGGAAATCTGGAGATAGGAAGGAGAATACCTTAAGACCACCTTGTGAATATAGATGCCTTTGCATGGACAGTAAAATAGTTGGCACACTGTTTCCTCTACTATCATATGAACATTGCATGGATTCGGCAGAAACTCCAAAAACTCTGATACTGCAATGAAAGGTTATAACCAGTACGAATCAAGATCTCCAAGTAAAACAGCTGAAGTTCAAGTAAGGTACGAACCAATTTTTTTAAGCATATTAGGAAGAATAAGTAATATGCACAAGAAAAGAAGGCTCCGATTAAAGCAAGAGGTGATTTATACATCAACACATATTTCACTTCAATTCTACACTGTCGATCTAAAAGAACATCACTGGCTACTTGGATAATATGTACACATTGACTAAACGCTCAGAGAATTCTCAAAATTTTAACAACGATGACAGAGTTGTCAGTACTCCGTAGTATGTGGCTTGCATTCCCAAACCCTGTGAAACTGTGTGAAAGGTATGATACTGAAAACGTAGATAAAATAAACAAATAAACAACCAGTTTTGTGATGCCAATGCATCACAGAAGATCTAAAAGTGCTTACATGAAAAAAATGGGAAAAAATAAATAAAAAATATAGATAGCTTCACGGCTTCATCACATAAGCCTCACTGAAGAGGTTCACACATACATAACAAATGCATAATCAATCAATTGAAAATGAATGCCATAGTATGCATGTATAGGCTTCCAAGCATTTATGACTCGAGGGAATCAAGTAAGGGTAGGGGCTTCATCAAGAGGCTCAATCCTCAGGCATTATTCTGGAAGGGTGGCAACATCAAGCTACATTACATTATTTAAACTAAGAGAAGAGGTTTCACTAGATCAAGTTATTTTAAGCCAGTTAATCCAAGAGGAGAGGGTTCATTAGATCCCGAGGGCAGCTACACCCATAAAAGGCCTCACTAAATCATTATGGGAAAATACATTGCGTAGATCACTTGCATCAACACAAGTCCACTGCAAAAGAATAGGTCAAGTACATCATGGAAACATCAAACAGATCAACTACACCAAGGGCCACTTCACTTCAGCATGTGTTTCGAAATGATTGGAGCGGTGTTCCAGTAGAGAAGATTCATTAAGATGGTGGTTAGACCTGCAATGCTTTATGGTCCTGAATGTTGGCCATAAAAAGAGAAGCATGATATTAAGTTAAGTGTTGCAGAGAAGAGGATGCTCACGTGGATGAGTGTCTTGACTCTTAGAGACAATATACGAAATGAGTATATACGTGAAAAGGTTGGAGTAGCTCCAAGTGAAAGATAAGATTAGAGAGAGTCGCCTTAGATGGTTTGTTCATATAAAACGTTAGTCTTCTGATGACGTTGTTGGGAAAGTAGATGTATTAGATTTGACTTATGTTAAGAAAGGTAGAGGTAGACTTGAAAAGACTTTGTTAGAAAAATATTAAAAATTACCTTTCTTTATTAGTTTTAAATGAGAATTTAACTTTTAACTATACACAATGGAGAAAAAGGATTCATGCAGCCAACCCCACATAGTGGAATAAAGACTTAATGTTCTTGTTCACTATACATGTACTTACTTTTAACGCACTTGATGCTATTGTCCGTTTAGATTGCAATAAGTAGATGGTTTAATTTTTATCCATCCTCTCACTAAATTTTATATTCTTTTTAACTAAAAGTAGCATTCTAACTCATTCTCTTTTAATGAAATTAAATTTAATAAGGAGAAATTTTAAATAGAGGATTAGAAATTCTAGAGAAGAACATTATGTTAAGAAGAATTAAAATTAGGCTTAGTCCCCATTTAATGGGCGAATAGATGTTGACCAGATAGGCGGTAGTTTGCTAAACAGGCGACTAGCAAAAATATTTTCTTTTTAGGAAAGTCGCATGTTTAAGAGACTGCTTGTATTAATCTTAATTTTTTTCGGCCAATTACCCATTCAATGCCATTGGATATATTTTTTTTATTTTTTTTAATATTCCAAAAAAAAAATTTGAAAAGCAAATTTAATATTTATTTTATATAATTCATAATTTGAAATTTGGTACAAATTAATTTTTTAATATTATAGTTATAAGAAAATCTTAAAATTATAAAATTTTGAAATGAAATTTATATATTTCTTACATTTATTTATATAATAATTAATAAATTTTAAGAAATTAAAGTTTATTAAAAAAGTATCTCCATCTTATCGTTAAAATTTAGTCAATATTTAAAATTTTAAGTTTACATTTAAAGGTTAATCATCATTTCTTTTAAAATTTATTTATTTAAGGACATTAAAAAATACATTATAGTATTCTATCATGCGCATGGCAATGAAGGGGCCCATTTTCATATCCCCATATTGCATTTATTAATATTAGTCATCATTGGTCCTCCAAGAGCATCATGAACATTGTATCACTTTAAGAGGAATCAATTGCATATTATTGTTGATAAGTAAAATTTTAAGGATAATTCAAATCGTTTATATCTTAAGTCATTAATCTTCTAGGGTTAACAATGACATTGGATTGCTCTTTCACTGTTGAATACTTAGGTCATAAGGAAAACACAGCTTGACAACAAAGAGTCAAATAGAACAATACTGTTCATAAGGTCTGAGTTGCAAATGTCTATCCAAAAGCAACCGCTATGAACTATAAAACCAGCATAGTTGGCTCCGAACTATATTGTTTCTAGTCCTTTAGAGATTTCCTGAGATCTTTCAAAGGACATTCTGTCTCACAACAATGGTGAGCCAAGATTTTAAAAAAACTAACGAGGAATTTTCCAGCCCTTTGCTATAACGGACAACAATCCATCAAAGGGAAACTAGTAAGACGCCAGCTAAACCTGTATAAAAAATGCAAGTGCAATCTAATAAGGCATAATATTGTTGTATGAATCTTTGGATATTAAACCATCATAAATTGTTATTAAAATTAAATACAGAGATGATAAGAAAACATTTCAACCCTGCAGGTACATTTTGGAAGCAAGAACAAGACAGATTTATGAAGACAAAAACCCCACGCAGTTGGGCTTCATTTCTTTCAGTTGAAGATTGCCATACAGTTGGGTTTAATTTCCTTCGGTTGAGACATCATCATCAGATGCTATCCAACTCAAGAGTATAACACGACGATGCTTATTGTGAGGAATATAATATTAATGTTCCGATATATCGAAAATGGAGTAGTCTGGAGTAGAACAGACGATGTTTTAAATTACACTAGTATCCCTGGTTGATGAGTAAACTACATCGATATGGTAAGAAGAAAAAATTTCAATTGATGAGGATTGGCAAGATATTCAGTGATAGTTTGAATATTACATATAAATGATTTTTGTAACTGAGTGTTCTTAACTCAAGGGAGATCATCAGAAAAGAAGAGAGGCAAGAATTGTTCTTAACTCAAGGCTCACACAAGTATAGGATGTCAGCTTTTGAGAAACAACATTGGGAAGTTACAAAATAGGTGCTATGATACTTGAATGGAACCATAGCCTTTAGACTAAGGAGTGAAAAATCCGATTCTATAGATGATGTTATCATTAGCTATGTAGACTAATATTTTTTAGGATGTTGTGACGCTTAGAGATCTCTTACTGGTCGTGTATTTAAGTTCTTTGAAAATGCAGTGAATTGGAAGGCAAACTTACAACCAATTGTTGACTTGTCTTCAACTGAAGCTGATTACATTGATGCTTCTAAAGTCATAATAGAAGCTGAATGAATGAAAGGGTTTATTTATGAATTATTTCAACTAGTGATTTTTTTATGCCCATGTCTTGTGATAATCGAACTACAGTATTTCTTCATCAAGAAGGAAGTAGATAATGGGATTATAGAGATTGTAATGATTCCAACAAATGACAATGTATCGGATATGTTGACAAATGCTCTAGCTTCTTCAAAATTTAAGCATTGTCTAGAGTTGTTGAGGTCAGTGAGAGAGAATTTCAATGTTGATTTTTGTACTAATAAATTAAGAAACAATGGTGGAGATTGTTACATTGCTCCTTTAATTCACATGCTCAGTTAATTGTGTATATTTGCATTCAGTTGTTTTGAATATTGTTGTGTCATGGAATATTCGCAGCAGTTTAGCGTCCTAGCTTTATACGAAGATTCAGTACACGGATAGATAAAAGATAAGGATGTGGGTGTAGCATTCATAAGAGACACCAGACCCCTGAAAAGGGGGAAAATCACGGGGCATTGCCCAGTTTAAATAAATCCACTAATGTTTACAGTCGATTACAAATAAGGACCTTCCTTAGGGGAAAGGCCTTGGCTCGATGTAGAAAATATACATTATATAAAATATATTATATGGTGGGAGTTGGAAGAATCAGTGTTGACATATTCGTTTGGTTGGCGGGACCATATTCAACGAGCGATGTTGGTCGGAAGGACTGTAACCGATGGGCGACAGAAAACAGAGGAAACGTAGTCAGATGACGATGGTCAAGGAGATCGTAGTCTGGAGACGGTGGTCGAAGAGACTGTAGTCGGACGATGGTGGTCGGGGAAATCGTAGTCTGGAGACTGTGGTCGGAGGGATCGTAGTTGGCAGGCGACGGAGGTCGAAAAGACCGTAGTCGGGTGACGATGGTTGGAAGGACCTTGGTCGGGTGATGGTGGTCGGAGAGACCGTAGTTGGCAGGCGATGATGGTCGGAAAGACCTTAGTTGGGTGATGGTTGTTGGAAGGACTGTAGTTAAATGACGATAGTCGAGGAGACCGTAGTTTGGAGATGGTGGTCGGAGAGATCGTAGTTGAGGGGCGACGGAGGTTGGAAAGATTGTAGTCGGGCAACGATGGTCAAAAGAATCGTAGTCGTGCGACGGTGGTCGGAAAAACTGTAGTCAGGTAACAGTAGTCGAGGAAACCGTAGTCTGGAGACAGTGGTCAGAGAGACCGTAGTCGGCGAGTGACGGAGGTCGAAAAGACCGTAGGTGGTCAGAAAGACCTTAGTCAAGCAACAATGGTCGGGGAGACTGTAGTTTGGAGACAGTGGTCGAAGAGACCGTAGTCTACAGTAGTTCGCCAATAATCGGTGGTCTAGCGTAAGTCCGACGACACTGGGTGGCCGGATGAAAGTCCATCAAAAGTCCGACGACGGTCGATAGTCAGGCAAAAGTCTGGCAATGATCGGTGGTCAGGTGGTGGTCGAGCAAGAGCTTGGTGACAAGAGAGATCTCAGATTTCTCTTCCTTCTCCTCTTCTCTTTTCCTCCATTCCTCTCCTGCTTGGTCCCCTTTAGTGAAGAATGAAGGGTCTATTTATAATTTTCTGGGAGTGGCATGACCAGTAAATAGGGAGAAGATTAAGGAAATGTTGGGAGTGTTTTGAATGGACGACCAATATCAACTCCCTTGATCATAGACCATTTATCAAGTATTTAAGTGTTTTAATGATGTCAGAATTCGATGATCTCGGCCTCGTTGGATTCATCTCATCAAGCCGCTTGATTTGACTTAAATGCATGTCATATTTGGATATCATTTGGTCATCCAATTTATGCTTTGAACCTTTCAAATATGCTTCAAGTCCTTGATTCGGACCCATTTGGGCTCGATCGGATCGAATTTGGTGTCGTTGGGTTTGTATTTTTAAGATGTTCAGTTTGACTATAAGTTTGTTGAAATCGAATTCCAATGATTCCGAATTTAATTTTAGAAGTTTCCAATTCAAAATTGCCTTGAGATTCATGCTTGATTAAAATAACTTTTTGATGATATGTCAGTTGTCTTCCTATTTTTAAACGTCAAAGCCTGTAGAGTCCGAATATGTGTCGGAGCTCTTCGAATGGTTTTAATGCAAAATTATAATTTCCGGGTAATTTCAAGGCGTGATCTATATACATGAACGTAGACCTTCTATTGGGATCGTAAATCAAGTAAAATACCCTTAATCATGATTTTAACATGTCTCAAATTTGGCGTGATAATTGGAGCACAAAATCTCAAAAAAAAAAAAAAATCCAAAGCTTTTGAAATGGCTTGAAGTTGACTGTAGAAGCACCGTTGGGCCTTGAAAGTGTCAAAATTGAGTCCCGAAAGTTGAAAAACTGTTCTTAGGACACCCAAAATGTCCAAATCGGATTGTTCAAGCCAAAAATCGGGCTTAGACCAACGAAGGTGGCCGAACTGGCCGACCGACGACAACCCTAGCATCACCAGAGCACATATAATGCTCACCTCATTCTTTTTTTTTTTGTCGCGACAGCGCAATTAAAGGGGCTCGCACCCCTTTGCGAACATGAGTTGGCAACCGATTATAACCAGCTGCCGGTTATGCCATTTTTTTAAGAATGCTCTTTTTTCAAGAATATTATATATATAAGAATTTTCCTCCCAAAATATTCTTATTCTTGAAAAAAATATTTCTCCCCTTTGCCCAATAAATAGCCTCTCTGGAGGTAGGGGAAGGTTGCACCTTTTCTTCTTCTCCTTTTCTTTTTCTCCTTTTATTTTTCAGCCTTCTTATAATAGAGGCATTCCACTATATTGAATAGGCAGCATCCCATGTCAGACTGTCAAGTTCAATGCCTCTCTTTATGTAAAAGGAACCTTCTCCCTCAAACTTTTTCATATATTAAATAGATCCCCCACCATTTTATTCATGATATTCTAATTCATTCTCTTTTTAGTGAATTCATTCTTCTCTCTCCCTCTCAATCTCTCTTGCTTTGTTTAGTTTTTCTTGTTACTGACTTAAAGGTTCTAATGAAGAACCTGATGTTTCATCTCCTACTACTGAGAAGGAGATGTGACAGAGGTTATGTTATTGATTGATTGATGGATGGAGATAGCTGGTTGCATAAGGCATGAGAAATTATGTTCTTAGCAAGGTTTTAAAAGGCGAAATCGGGGATCGAAGCGTTTTGTCTAAGCGAGACAAGGCGGATCGAGGCTTAAGCCTCAAACGAAAAAAATAAAGTATTTAAAAATAATAAATAATTACAAAAAATGATAAAATATTAAGTCAATTATGAACATGATAATTTGTTTAAAGATAATATGATTGAAACACAAGATTCAAAATAAACTCGCTTAAAAATAAAACACGCTCTCAGGATCAAGACCCAAGACTGGCATTTTTAGTTATATTTAGTTTTGTATTAATTAACGATAATTTTGTTTTGATTAAATGTCCTAAGTATTTAGTAACACTGTTATTTTATTTAGCTTATTGTACACCTACCAGTATCCTTAGCAATGGCATTTTCACTTATACAAACATCAGCGGCAAATGGTTTAAAAAGATGGCTGGAATTGTTTAAAGGAAATAAGATTACGGCAAACTACTTGTTAACATATATAAGTACATATAAAGCTAGGGTCTAAAGAAAGCATCCACTTTGCTGAATTTAGGCACTCGAGAGACAGAACAAAAAAGCTGCGGTTATGAGCTAGGCCAAACGGAAGAAATAAGAATAACAAGGGAAGGAGAGCAGTTTAATTCACTCCTTATAGGAGAGATTACCTCATATCTATCTCCATTATTGTGTATTGGTCTTTGTTTGATACAATGAAAAATTATCGTAACTTACAGTAATTTGTATTTGATAAAATCAATATAAAATCAAACTCAATGAAAAATACTATTTTAAATGAAAATAAGAATCCATAAATACAACTATAAAATTAACATTATCAATCGACGAACAGGAGGTAAAAATGCTACCTTTGCTGTAGCAGGCGGGAAGTAGGCAAACAGGAAGCAAAAGACAAAAGGGAATTAGGGAAATAAATCGTTACCTTCGCTGCAAGGTGCGTCAAAGTTGACCAGATTGTGGTTGTTGAAGTCGTCGAAGTAGTTGGATTTCAACACTCAGTTCTCACATGAATAACTCGCAGGCAAAAAGTAAGCGAAGAGGAAGCAAATGATGGGAAGAAAGATAATCACCTACACTACAATCTACGACATTACACGAAGCAGAACTCTAACACATAGAAAATGAACCCGCAAAACCGCACGAAAGGAAATAAATCGTTACCTTTGCCTCGAGGTACGTCAAAGTCGACCGGATTGTCTGTCACTCACATGAAGCAGACAAGTCCAACCATAATTATTATACTCGACTCCATCTCTCGGTGGTATATAACAAATAAATTGAGGTAGCGCCTCAATACGCCTCGAGGCGATAAGATTTGAGGCATACGCTTCGTGAGAAAAAATCGCACATTTTGGCCGAGCCATCAAGGCTTCAACCTCGAGTCGCCTATGTTCCGCCTCGACTTGAGGCGCCTCAATGTGTCCGTCTCTTTATTCCATGGTTCTTAGCAGAGGTTTTTAATCTCTACTGATTTTATGAACCTGAAAGGCTCTTGTGCCTTTTGTGAAGGAGATCCAGGAAGAAGCAGGTGCAGAGCTAGAGCACAATGGACGGGAACTTCTCTGGCAGATATTCATTGAAATCGCTTGGTAGATGAAGTTCTTGAATGTAAGGAAGAAGGATTTGCATTCAATCTTGTAAAGGTTGCAGCTATGGCTCTTGAAAGTGAAGAATATAACATGAAGTTAATAAAACAAGAAATTCCTGATGTGGAATTGTGAAGAACGGAGAGTTTACAATCCTGAATTGATTACTGTTCATTAGGCTAGACTTTTTCTTGACAAATGCTAATATGTTAATCAAAACTAGAAGAATTTTTCTTCTTCATCCACTTTTACTACATAGCTCTAGAAGTAATATCCATGTTTATATCCTTATTTATTTTGTATAATTGATTCATAAAGCTTAAACTTATACACCTCTAGGCATCAATTGATTTCTAACAGAACAAATAATTCTAAATTACACATCTATTAAAATTGCAAAGTATGCACTGAACCTAAGCTCGATTTGTTGGGCTTCTTTTTTCATGAGAGAGGTTGAGAAGATACTTCCAAAAAGTAGCTTTGTGAAGCATCTTCAAAACTTCTTTCATAGTTTTTTGAAAATATTTTTTTTGGAAAATCAGTTTTTTCTTGACCCATAAAAGGAAGACATGCTTGGTAACATCTATTTGCTGTCACAAAGGAAGTACAATAATATTATAAAATGAACTCGTTTTTATACTGCTCTTAAGCACCTTGCCTTCTAACAACTTCACACTTATCCCGACAAAAGCCTCACTAATTAGAACAATAACGCCTGAAAATAGCAACCTCAAAGCACCACCGCTCTTTGAATATCCATCTTCAGTATCTCTAAAAGGTTCACCATAATATTGATCCCTAATGCAATAATACAGTGACTAGGAACTGTTTGGCCACTCCACAACTACTTATGATAGTCCCTGCTCCAGCATTCATTCTTTCATAACTTCAGCATATTTTGGAGACAATTTTTACTTTCTTAATGCATGAAAAATTAAATCTTGATCTTCTTGAACATGTGATGCAAGCAAGGCTTGCATACTCGGGTTAACTATGGGCTGAAGTTGGCTAAATGGGCTTGGTCCATTTTCCTTGGGCTGATTTGGGTTTGATTCATGTGGGTTTGGTCTATTTGGGAGCTTGACGATTCTTGGTTGCTTGGGTTGGTTGTTCGGTTCCTTGCCTGTTGGGTTGTTCGGTTTCCTTCCTGCTGGGCTGTTCGGTTCCGGCCAGCTTGGTTGTTCGGTACCTCTGTCTGGGTCCCTCGTTTCCTATTTCTATCATGATTCCTTGTTGTGGTTGTTAGGTTTCAGGAAGCCTTAAATGTTACATTTTTTTTTCCTTTTTGTTGGTTGGCTGTTTGGGGCGGTTGAGGCTGTCTTTTGGTCTCTCTTTTGTGGTTATAAAAGGAAGTGTTTTGGGCTGTTGTAAAAAGGTTTTTGGAGATGAATATTTGGAATATATAACCTGTGGGTTATCTAGCTTGTGAGCTATCTTCTTCTAATTCGTCTCGGCTTTCTAATCTCCTTCTCTCCATGGTCTCCACTCCATTTGTATCATTCTTTTCTAAAACTATTGTAAGTTTTAAGTTGTGTTGTGTCCTGTTTTATTATAAGTTATAAGTTGTGTTGTTTTTTTGTTTTAATATAACTTGTAGGTGGTTTCTATTAGAAATTGAAAACTTTGTTATGTCCTATTTAGTGTGTTTTGTCATTTGGAAGGAAGACAAATCAATTTTATATGCAATCTTAATTTCCTAAAATTTTGCTTGCATTAACATGTCTTCTAGAAATCAATTAAATTTACATAAGACTCTTTCTTTGCAGCACTAAACAAGAAGCAATTCATAAAAAATTGAGAGCCAAATGGTTTATAACTGAAGGAGCAAACTAAAAAGGCAAAATGAAAGGCAACAAATGCCCAAATAGAGTAAATCACAAAATTAACTACGTAAGAAATACCATGAAATTCATAAATTGCAGGAACCTAAAAGTCCATTTTTTTAGCCACCGACTTCCTCCTAGAACTGGAAAATTGTGCGTTTATAGATGCTACAAAGAAGGGGAACACTATCAGTGCCCCCGGCAAAGAGCAAGATTAGTAATCTTATAAGCCTATTCAATGCATCTACAATCAAAGAACACCTATCAAAACTTTGATTTACGATGTTGAATTCCTTTTACACATTTTGAATTCCAAAACTCCTCATATTAATTTATTCAATAAGCATGTGACCCATCTACCTTGGAACCCAAAAAAAAAATTGCGCAATCCTTAAAAAAACAAAAGATAAGTGAAAGCAGGTAGCAGTGTGCATGACCATATTACTCATTGGGAAAAGCATCAACATAAACGCACCTGGCGCTGGGAACTTTGCTCGGGACATCGGGTTGAAACTCCACTGGCAAACCAAGAAACCCTTCGAACCTATCGAAAGTCACATGGGAAACGTGCCGAACGTCTGACGGCCAGCCGATGTCCATGCAAGCCCCGGCCCCTTCCTCTCCGGCGCCGAGACTGCACATGGCAAGAGACCTCTGCAACGCCGCCGTCGCCATTTCCGATATGGAGAACTGTTGTCCCCGTCGGTCTATGCTGCCCTTGTCCGTTGCCGGTATGGTCGGCGGAGACGCGATTAAATCGGCTCCACACTCGCTTCCGCTCTCGCTCCCGGTGTCTTCGCTCTCGGCCACAACAACGGAGGCGCGGTGGGAGAGCGGAAAGGAGAAAAGGTAGCCAAGGTGGAGCTGGAATCTGACCATGAGTAGATCTCAGACTAGGGTTATGGTTTCACATGGCAATAAAAGGAGGGCAAAAGGATCGTTCGTTGCGGGAAGTTAACGAGAAGATAGGTTAGTTGATCAGCGGTAGCCGTGGCAGTGCCGGTGGAGGTGGCGGCGGAAGAAATGGAGGATTTGGTAGCTTGACTGACTATATCTAAGCAAATATTTTTTAATAGGAAATAAAAAAAAAAAAAAAAAAAAAAAAAAAAGAATTTTTATTGAGCTTTTGCTCCTGATTTCATTATCATAATTAATAAAAAAAGAAAAAAAAAAAACACAACAAGAACAAAAAAAAAAGAGTAACTAGTAGCTACTGTTGCTAACGGAGATGAGCATGAAAAAAAAAATTAAAAAAAAAACATTAAAGTAGAAATAATTTACTAAGGGGCTGTAAAATAGGTTAACCGGTTGAGTTTGGATCCGATTTAAAATTGATCTAACTCGGTTTCAATAAACTCGAAATTAATCTCCTAACAATTTGAATGACCCAACCTAACCATTAATCCAATTTGATTTTCAAAAAAATAAATTACTTGTTAACTATAAAGTTTAAAATTTTTTATAGAAAATAAAAAGATTATTTCAACAAATAAATAATTAAGAAAAAACTATTAAATAGGACATTTTCATGTAAAAAATGAGTTCATAGGTCAATTCAAATCAGACCCATTTAATAAAGGGGTGGAAAACCCAACCTAAACCCCACTCATTCAATAAATGAGTCAACTTGAATCCGAATTTTTTGATTAAATTTGAGTCAGGTTGATAGATAGGGACCATAGATCATTTATTGATGCCCCTACTGCTTTGGCTTCACGGATTATTTTTGTTTTGAGGATAATTTAGTTAATTCTTTAAATTTGAATTTATTAAATTTTAAGATTCTAAGTTTTAAATTATTTAACATATTTCAGATATTGAATTTAGTTAAACGTTGATAAATTGTTATATATAAATTAAATTTAGCTAAAATTTTGAGGTATTTTTCAAACCAAATGACTAAAAACAGAGAAAAGAAAGAGTAGATGGAATTATTTAGCAAAGTTTAGAATAAGTAAAAGAGAAGAGCAAGATTTCATTTAGGATAACTTTTTTAATTCTTTCAAAAATATTTTTTTTTATAAAAAAGTTTTTAACTTCAGAAATATTTGTACTAAAAATTTGTTTAAAAAATAGTAATTAGTATAAACAATTTTAGCTCAATAAATTTTTCTACTATAAAATTATTTTAAAATATAATAAAAAAATTTCCCAAAATAAATTTTAATAGATCAAAATGAGCTGCGTTCATTCACAATTATTCACATAAAACCGGCAGCTTCCACCTACACGTGAATAGCAGAAATAGGAAAAACTGCACGGTGCAGAAAATTAGATACATCTTAGTATCTTACATAAGAATAATTATTATGTCTGGACACCTGACGTAGCTCTATATCTGGATGCCAATAACATGTCGCCACGTGATCTTACTCTTTATCGCACGGCCCGACGATCCGGACCCGATAATGCTATGTATTGACTGATTTGTGCAGACCGGGGTATTGCTAGATATTGCTAAGGATTGCTCGGTATTGGTCGACAATAACGAGAAATACCAATCTGTCAAGATCTAATACCGAGCAATACCTAGCAATACCCTGGTTTTGCTACGTATTGCTCGGTATTGCTATGTATTGGTCTTGACAGAGCGGTATTTCTCGTTATTGCAAAGCAATACATAACAATACCGAACAATTCCTAGCAATACCGAGAAATACATAACAATACTCGAACATAGCAATACCAGGTTCCGATCTGGGTCGGGTCGTCGGGCCGCACGGTAAAAAGTAAGAGTATGTGGCGACATGTTATTGACATCCGGATGTAGAACTACGTCAGGTGTCTGGACCTAATAATTATTCCTTACATAAATGCAAATGGCATGAAATAAAGAAAGAAAGAGAGAGACTTAATAATATAAACAAGAAATAAAATAAAATAAATGTTGGAGGGTTTTTTTTTTATCCTTCCTATAATAGAACATAATCCATATGTCTGATGCTTTTCACTGTTGAAATACTTAGTATTAAAATAATCATTTGAGTTCAATTTACATATTTAAATATTGTTACACAATGTGTATAATGGCTAATGAGTTGATTGAATCAATTGATTAATATCAGTCTAATAAATTAGTCCAACAAATTGATTGTAAGAAAATGACAGCATAATTATATTGTATATTTCAATATTAAATAATCCTAATTATATATTTAAATATTATAACATTTAGAATGTTTTTTTTTTCTGTCCATGAATAATTGTAAAGATTGTTTGTTGTTATTGTCAATGCCATAAGGTTGGAAAGGAGAGAGAATGTTTAAAATATCAATAATAGTGAAGTTAGGGTTGTGTGATCGAAACAAGTAAGATCACGAGTCAGTTCAAATTTGACTAGCTAATCAGTTCGAGAGTCAAACTTGTCGAGCCACGGGTTAGAACTTATATATTATAAGAGCTCGAGTTTGGCCCGGCAAGACTCGTCAAGCTGACTCAATTAATATTAATCAACACAACAATATTTTTTCATGAATAATAATAAAGATTGTTTGTTGTTATTAATCAACCTAATTAATTATTTTTATCCAAATTCAAAATGAATTTTATTTTCAAAACTGATATGTCACCAAAAATCGCATTGATCAGGCATGACTAGGCATGAATCTCGATATAAATATGAATAAAAAATTTCCAAAATTAAAATTGGAATCTTCCAAGCTCTAATTTCAACAAACTTATAGTCAAATTGAATATCTTGAAGAGACGAACCCAACTACTCCAAAATTAGTCTAATCCGAGCCTAAATGAGCTCAAACCAACAGTCCAAAGCATATTTGGAGTGTTTAAAATATTAATTGAATAATCAAATGATCGTCGAATATGACATGCTTATAGTCGAATCAAGCGGTTCGACAAGATGAATCCAACGAGCCCAAGATCATCCATTTTTTGACATCATTTGGTCACTCAAATGCTTGATAAATGCTCCACACTCAAAGGGATCAATATGAGTTGTCCATTGAAACACTTCCAACATGCACTCAATCTTCTCTATATTTACGGGGTATGCAGCCCTCAAAAAATTATAAATAGACTCCCATTCTTCACACGAGAGAGGGCAGAAAGAAGGAGAAAATTAGGGGAGCACTTTTCCACCAACCGTTGCCGGAGTTCTTCCCAATCTTCGTCGGAGTTCTTTCCGACCGTCACCAAAGTTCTTCCTGACTGTCATCAGAGCTCTCTTGTCATCAATCACCACTGGAGTTCTTACCGAACGTCACTGATGTTCTTCCAGGTTGCCTACAAAATTCTTCCCGACTGTCGCCCGAGTTCTTCTCGGCCGCCATTGGAGTTAATTCCAACCACTATCGGATTTCTTTATGACCGCTTCTTGAGTTTCTTACCGGCTGTCACCAAACTTTTTATCTGATACTCTCTAGAAAATGGGGGATTGATGAGGATCAAAAGATGGGATATATTAAAAGAGCTACCAAAATATTATTAACAAAAGCATTCTCTAGGGGATTGAATAATTGTTATCTTATTGATGACATTACTACATCAATTGCTAGACTTATTCCAGAGTTTCTTCCTGTCTGTTGAATTTTACCAATAAACTAATTATCCATTTTATCTAGCATACTCTCCATTTTTCTAATATTTTCGTTGGGTTCATCTCTTTCTGATTTTCTATTCGATTGTAAATTTATTGAAATCAGATCTTGGATGATTCCAATTTTAATTTAGAAGTTTTTTATTCATAGTTATATTGAGATTCATGTCTGATCAAGGCAATTTTTGTTGATATATCATTTGCCCCATTTTTTTGGACGTTGAAGCTTATAGAGTCCATATATATATATATATATATATATATATATATGAACTAGTTGTGACTGATAACTTTGGTTATAACCTCAAATGTGGTTGTGGCCAAGATAATTTTCTCTTGCATTTTCTAACATCTAAGACAATGCCAATAACAATCATTTTTTTTCATAAATGCAAATATTTCAAAAAACTCAAGCTCTATATATAGTCCCCAACTAGACTTCTACTCTTTAGGCATGATCTCAATCTTTATATCAAAAAGATAGTAACAATCTAAAGATAATTCATTATTTACCCTTGATTTGAGATATATGCAGCATTCGCCCCCTCCCAATCGAGGAATAATCGATCCCAAATGATTCGATTCGACCTCTTCCACACATGTTTACGTCATTAATCAACGCTCTGACAAATAACCTTGGATAGACCAAACATCCATGGTGGATTTTCTCAATCGCTTAATATCATCGAGTAAAGCTTTGACAAATAACCTCGGATAGATCAAACATCCTTGGTAGATTCCCTCAAATTATTCCACACATGTTAATGTCACCAAGTAAAGCCATGACAAATATTTTGGATAGGTCAAACATCTTTGGTGGATTCCCTTGACCTCTTTCATATAGGTTAATATTAATGAGTAATGCATGAAAAACAACCTTGAATAGGTTAAACATCCTCGAATAAATGTGCTTAGCTGATCCCATCAACTTCTTTCGCACAGGTTAATGTCAACGAGCAACACATTGACAAGTAACCTTGGATAGGTCAAACATCATTGGTGGATTCCCTTAATCTCTTACACATAGGTTAAAGTCATCGAGAAACACTCTAACAAACAACCTTGGATAAGTTAAACATTCTTGGTGGATTTCCTCAATCTCTTTCACACATGTATGTCAACGAGAAATGTCCTTACAAAACATCTTAGATAAGTCAAATATCCTTAGATAAACATCCTTGGCATCTTCGTGGATCCCATCGACCTCTTCACATAGAATTTTGAAACATCTTTATCAACTCCTTCAAAGAAGGGTTCGAGACCGTTAGGCCTCCACTCTGCTGACATTGTTAGAGTGTCACTAGACAGTTGTGATTAACACAATATTTGACCCCTGCATCAAATTATCAGTTATATACCTCCATCAGCATGCATACCTTCTATATTCAGCAAAATGCAGCCCGATCATCATCATTAGCTAGCCGCCTGATCTCCAACGTCGGAATATCACCTAACCACTTCCAATAGGCTTTCATTGGCATACTGCCTAACT